ACTTCGAGCGATTGAATTACTAACAAAGCACTTATATACTAATAAAGGGCTGGCTTTTCTAAAGCCAGTTGAGTAGCACTTGAAATGTTTGGCTCTATGAAACCTGATGTACTTATATGATTCTGTTTTCTTCAAGGTTGTATCTTCCTGGTCGAATGCACTTATTGTAAGTCGCTTTGGATAAAAGCGTCAGCTAAATGCAATGTAATGTAATAATGTAATGTAATGTAATGTACAAAGTGTGTTTCTGTCGAAAGCAAAGTGTGAGTATGTAAACTCTGCGCTAAACATGTGATCTTACATCTTGAATGCAGCAGGTGTAGCTGACAAACATTCAAAGTCAGGCTGTGAGCTTGGGGCTGTTGAACAGACATGTGTCATCGCCAGCTCTCTACTTGAAGCACTCTACATCACCAGATCTGGTTGATGTAGGCGGATAGCAACAGGTGTCTATTCTGTCAGTAACACCTGTAACGCTAACTCTGCATCCGTCTGCTCCTCAGGTGAGGTTAGTCCACTGGGAGGACATGGATCATAAGGCGTAGACAATTAATTGCCATAATTACATTTCAATTGAAGTTGATTATATCATTAAATACAGTTTCTATTTCTTAATGTCTTAAAATGTTGATATAGATATATTTGCGCAAAAACCTTTTTTGGTCTATTGTTCAAAACAGGCATATTATGAAGAAACTACCTAAAATACCTAAAAATCCACAACTATGAAAATTACAACTTTTTGTGGCCTGCCAAAAAACATGGGATTCAACAAACTATTTCAAACTCACATGCAGGCTCATTAAAATATGTGTTGCCTACACAGCGCTTAAATGGCTTTAGAACTATTGCAGAGGTGCACTTTATTAATCTCGCGAGCCAGTCAGAGCACACAGGGCTTTTGGAAGGGGGGCGTAAAGTGAAAGTATGAAAAATATTGTGCTTTTTGAAACTTTAAGCATGTTCTAGTAGAGCCCCAAAATACATATGAATGTGAACATTAGCATGATGTGCTCCTTTAACATATTAAATCTATGTTTTCTTGTATTCCCCATTTTATTTGAAATATAAGATATTAATACTGTTGTGCACCGACAGAAATGTTAAGTCAAGTCATGTTTCATGTTTTGTTTAACCATTTTCTGTTTTGTCTCCCACTTCCTATCCTGGTGTGTGTCTCCCGCCTCACCCTCATCAGCGTCAGCCCCGCCCCTGATTGTTCTGTGTCTTCTTATCCTGTGTTTAAATTCCCCTGTCTCCCATGTGTTCTTTGTCAGTTCGTCTTGCCCTGTCCTCATGCCAGTACGCTTGTCATCGATTGCTTCTTTATTCAAGCCTACTTTATGCTTCTGAAACGTATTGAAAGTTTAATTCCTCACGTTGTGAGCAATTTTTTGTTGTATCTTTTTGGACCCTTTTTTGTCATCTCGTAAGAGTGATTTTTCTTTTGTATATCTTTTGTGGAAGAAATAACACAGCAATATGTATATGTACTGAAAGCACTTTTACAATGTACACATTTAAAAAATATTCCCGAAATAGTGCATTCCTGCTCTCATTGGACTGACCTTTTGCACTTTCCCATCAACATCCAGGTAAATGGTTTTAGGGGCATAGGAAGAGGAGCTGGAGCCCATGTTGACCTCCCTCTCCCCTGCCTCTCTTCAAAGATTTCGGCTGGATTCCCTGATCGGCGAACTTGAGGAACAAGAAAAACAAATACACGGATTTCCAGTATGTTCATGCATGTACTAGTGAGTGTAATGTCTGATAAATACTACAAATCATGACACAATAAGATAACAAAAGCATCAGCACCATGTGAGTATTGCTCTCAGTTTTCAACTAATTTAAAACAACATAAATCTCCAGTTTTTGCTTTGCCAATCTATGGTTTTAAAGACAGAACAAAACATAAATATAGGAATACCATACCAAAGAATATATACAAAACATCATAAGTAACTGGCAATTATCAGATTCAATCAAATAGTAACACATATTCTTTCAATAAAACAAAAAAGCGTAATAGAGTATTAGGGCTTAAAAAAATCACAGTCAAATGAATTGACATAAAGCAACATCACTCACAATGTCAGCGTCGGAGCTTCCCCTGTGGAGAGCGGAGGTAAAGTCCCAGGTGCTAAGGATGCAGCTCACTCACATGCAGACACACAAACACACACAAGCAGAGGAAGAGCTGCACAGGAGAGGAGAGAGGGCGCGAATGATGGAGAAGCTGGGTATGTGTGAGGGAGACAGAGGGGGTATGGACTAATATGAATATAACCAGCACTCTGAATGGTTGCCAGGGGACAGTTACTATGGTGAAAAAAGAGACAACCCTTATTTCTTAAGTGGTTTAGGGCTTTTACCTGTGCTGGTCACACAGGCCTGATTCTCTCTATCTCATAAGGGAAACCTAAAAGCATTATGGCTTTTTCAAATACTGAACATAAATTGTTTATCTGATTGAAACTCAGCTAGAGAATTATATTACGCCGGTGTTCTGTTGAAAACAGCAATTTATCTGGCCCATAAGGCACGTAGTGCACAAACAAAACACTGATTAGAGCACTCAATGGTACATGGACAATTATATCATATCAGAGGGACTCGTACAAACAAGGTGCCCCTTCTTTCTTTTAGTCGCTGAAATGCCGAAAGTGTGTGTGTGTGTGTGTGTGTGTGTGTGTGTGTGTGTGTGTGTGTGTGTGTGTGTGTGTGTGTGTGTGTGTGTGTGTGTGTTACCATCCCCAGACCACTTATCCACTTCATTGTTGAGGACAGGTTGGGCAGATGGTTCTGTCAGACAAGTTCAGCTGTTCTGCTTGAGAAGATTTCCCATTTTATTTTTAGCAACAATTTATAATTGTTCAAGTGGTGGAGACAATGGGCTATCTTGATGAGTTTCTTTTCATGGTAATTTTATTTTCATTAACCAAAATCTCTTCCTCAATTTGTGGGGCTGAACACATACAGTGTCATTCCTTAGACCCTCTATATTGAGAAGGAAACATTCTTCAAGGAAAAGTAGAAATACACCTGAAGAAGAGCAATAGAGGAAAGATCCTTCAACAATTGAGTAAAAAGTGCACTTTGTCTAGTTTAACATTGATATACTCAGGTAAAATACAAAGACCTTAAACTTTTATTAAAGTGTGTTATCTATTTATCATCACTGCATAACTAACAGACAATACGTGTGATATGTTTAATGTAGTCAGAGATAACAATTGTAGAGTTCTAATGTGGAAAACCAGCATGACAATACTTGAGTAGACATACATAGCATGTTATATTAAGTCAATATTAAGTGTTATTAGTTAGGAAAAATACAAGTGAATGAAGACTAGGGGGCTGAGAAGAACTGGAAGGATCCTCTTTATTTATTTTGTTCATTGATCCACATAAAGATCAGAGCCCGTGCTCTACAATGGGACTACCAGTCATGGACTACTGCAGGTCCAGCTTTCCAACAATAAGTCAACCTCCTTTAGTGTGCAAATACATCAACAGGCTGATGTGAACAAGGACACAATTCGACCAGGCAGTAGGAGGATATAATTAATTAGGGATGGAGAGCATCATACATCATGTGTGTGTAACTCATAAGGCACCTACTCCCAAAGGTTTGCACATACACAGACACATAATATGCACGCATGCACTATACACACGTATTTAATCCTGCTCTCCAGAGGCTAATTACTGCCTCTCTCTGCTCCTTAACCATGCTGCAGGTGAAACATGATGGGATCGACTGTGTAAATACATCTTTTTAACATGAAAACAGATTCAAAGTAATTTGAGGACATTTTTCACTTTCTGTAAACCATGAGTGATTATGCATATGTTTGTGTGCTAACGTCTCTACGTGTGTGTGCCTGTGACGCTGTATGTGTATTCATGAGTCTGTGTGCCAAGGAATAAATTGTGTTTCAAACGGAAACAAAGGCAGCAAAGCACAGATCAAAACAGGCGGATCTGATTAGCTTATATAGACTCATCACACCTTCAGTAATGGAAGATACATTTTAGGATAAAAGCAATAAATACAATCATGCAGATCTTCATGACAAAAGATGTCCAGCTGGACCTCTGAAAGGAACACATTATCCTCATAATAGTGATGGACCAGGCCAATTAATGTCTCTGTGTTTGTGTGCATTAATACACTCTTTCACAGAAACACTGTTGGACATTTTGTTATCTGCCTTGTGTGAGGAAATAAATAAGTATTTTTGTGTCACAGCGGAAGTCAAAATCTGTGACAAAGTAGAGACACCAGACAAATTTAAAAGTAATACACACCTTATTTAGAAAGCAACAATAAGCACTGACAAAAAGTGACAAAAAGTGAAACATTTCTGGAAAATAGCATCATTTGCAGGCAGCACAGAGAAATAGTTTTAAAATGTGTGGGTATAGATTTTAAAACCGGTAAAACTATTTCAAACCATGCTATTCAGAATTCCTCTCTTTATATATTTTTAGTTACCATATACTGAAGAGCCATTTATTTGTTTCAAGTTTGTCCACAATCAAGAAGAAGAGTCTGTTAAAAGAAAATGAAATGGAGGCTTCACAAATACATTATATTTATGACTCCTCTTAAATTTAATTGGCTCACGTATTCTAAATATTTTTTTATTTGTGATTCTGATAGAATTATAGGTTCAACCACAGCTTGATCGTCATTGACCTTGTGTCAAATAATGTCATGTGTCAGAGTAAGAGACACAGTAACTCATTACTGACCTCATTAGGTTACACAAAAGGATAAAACGGTGGTGAGACAATCAAAACATAAAACATAACTTGCTAAATAACTCGTAACAAAGTGTGGATCAATACAAGTAATTATCTTACTGACAACTGCTCTCTAAAATCCAGTATAATATGTGGGCGACCTCTAATGGACTAAAAAGGAATTACGCTTCAACTCAAGAAAAGCAGAGTTGTGGTGCAGAATTTTACAAAATAGATGACAAACTACAAACTATTTAAACTGCTTTTATTACCTCAGGTTATACAGTGACCTAGTATTGAATAAGAATACACCTTGTGGCTTAATTTTTGAACAAAATCCCAACCCAAAACCATTAACTTACTTACAGGTACTTATCAAAAGGAAAATACATAATTAACCAAGAAGAAAATGATATACCAGAGTTGAGAAACCTTTACTGTTCAGCTTAAAATACATGATGAACTACATGGACAGAATATATTTATTTCACTTGACAGGATATCATCAAAAGACTAAGGAAATATTGTGCATAGCCATAGAGAAATACATGATAAATAATGGCATATGAAGACATAGAGTTAGCTGAAAGTGTACATATCTCTTATCCTAGTGCACCAAATCCATTATCCTTGTGTGTGCAACAGAAGACCGACAAACTACAAGTGTACTTTACATATCACAGAATGAGAACATCAGGCACTTGTCAATGTGGTGATGGACAGCGAGTCTGATCAACAGGGTCTGCACTCTCTGACTCTACAGGCAGGTGGCTGGTTGGGATGCCTATTGGTGGACGGACCTTTCTTATTGGGCTGAAACTGCGTGGAGATGAACCAGGGGAGGGAGCTGGGGACCGGACAGGACGTAGGGGAGGACAGGGGAGGGGTTGTGGGAGAGGCTGTGCCAGGGGAGAGGGGCTTCGGGGATATCTACGGGGGGCAGACCATACAGGCCGCTCAGATCTGTTGGAGGAGGGAGGAAGAACCGGAGCATAGGTAGCAGGGATGTTCATTTCTGAATGGATGGCGACATCACCAGAACTCTCTTCCAAACGCTCCAGAGTCTCCTGAAACAAATGAGGAGGCAGATGTAAAAATACATCCTCAGATGTGTTGTAATATGTGCTTCTCATTTGAGTGAAGCAATGATATCTAAAAAACAACAATCAAATGACAAAAAACACATGAACTGAGGATGGCAATGTTGGTCTGTCAGTTAGTCAACCACTTTGGTTCAGACCCAAATATTTCAATAATTAATTGAACAATGAGAGCAGTCAATGGCTTATATAGACTCTAAATGGAAATATAGATAATAAAAGAGTGAGTTACATCTTCATTAAGGACATAAAGAGGCATGGGACTCCTTCGACCAAGTGTAGTTGGTTTTGGAACAACATCAACTGCAAAACAAATACATTTATGTTATTTGTTTAACACTGGGGAACGTTACTTTTTTGAAAAGTTACTATTATAAATTCCTGAATCACAATCCTATTTCTAGATATACACTGTCATTCTATAATATAGTAAGAAACCATAAGAAACGCAGTACTTTGCAGATCAACCTGCTGCCTTCTTCTTTATTACACATTAACAGTAAAAAAGATGTACAATATATTTTTTATAACCATGCTGTAGCTGTACTGAAAATATAGGTAAAATAAACGATATAATCTAATCAATCTTTCATGTTGTCTTTGTTTTGTCATTCAAAAACCAAATATAAATGTGTTCTTTAAAGGTGTATACTTTAAAGATGATTAACTGTAATTGTGCTCACCATCATGGCCAATATCACTCTGCTCCAAATAGATCGGAGCTCTTTGGGGGATGGGTTGATGTTTCTTTCTACAGCAGAAAAAAACACATTTAGAAAAAACATTTAAAACCTGCTACTAAATCGTAATTTTTACAAGCTACAGGTCACTGTGTTTATTAGTTGTTCGCCAAAGGTTCTCAAGTTTCAAGGTTATTTATTTGTCATACGAACATAGCTACAGAGTAGTTATGTTGATGAAAATCTTAGGTCACAGGCTTCTCCAACAGTGCAACACTATGAAACAGATAAACAGAAAATATAGTGCAAGTAAATATTAAAAAGTAAAAACAAAAATAAAAATAGTTTAAAACAAAATAAAATTGTGAAATAAGAGTCTATATGCAAGCTATTGGAATGATATATTAGATAAATAAAAAACTAATTACTAAGTAGCAGATGAATGTTATGGACTTTGAGCTATTTAAGATTCTAGTCACATCCTCAAGTGCAATATCAAAGGCAATGAGAGAGAGAGGAAGAAATAGAGGGGGAGAACGAGAGGAGGGAAAAGAGCAGGGAGAAGAAAGAGTATAGCTCTCACTTGGATGGTTTCCAACAGGCACACACCGTCACCAGGGTGATTAGGAGGAATATGCCCCCGGTGGACAGGATGATGTATAGCGAGCTCCGTCCTAAACCAGAGTGATACATAGAGGTAGACAAGGACACAATGAAGAAAGAAAGAAAGAGAGAATGAAAGAAAGACAGAAGAAAAAAAGGAAAGGTTTGTTTCAATAACAGCAGGGCAGTGCCGTTTCCCCCTCAATGAACAGCTTACTTACTTACTATCTTTGACTCGTGTATAACTCCTTGATTTGCTTAACAGTATTATTTGTACGTAAAACATGTGTTTAAAACTATTCCTATTTTTGTCTTTGTCAGTGTCAAAGTAAAGTTATCTTCAGACTTTTTTAACATGCTATTTCTTAGTCTTAGAATAAAACTGGAACATGCAGAACATTTGATTTTGTATTAATCTTTTACATTGCATGCCAGAGCTTTGGAGTGTACTGGCATGAATAATGTGCAGCGAAGTAGTACATTAGGGTAGTCACTTTGAGTATTGCATGCAGAGGGAATAGAGAGCAGTTTGTGGGCCTGTAGCTGTCTCATCATGCAACACATCATGGTACAACAATAATGAAGTCAGGATTACTGAGGTCCACTGAGGCAGAGCGTCCTCCCCACCTGCCTTCTTTATCTGCTCGCTCATCATAAATAACTGCACATTCATTGGATTAGACGGCCTCTCCCTCTCTGCCTGACATGTGGTCCTGGCGCCCAGTAACAGCCGCTCTGGGCCAACTCTGCTGCACTCCCAGGCTGGATTTGCACTGGTTGTAAACAACATTGTTAGAGGGATAGGCATTCATGTGTACGAGTCAGCAAGAGATGATAATTACTTTTGTGAGCTACTGAAATGGATAATTGCTTAACAATGAGCTAAAACATAATCATTTTCATATGGGTTGGTATTTATTGGAGCCATTGTAGGAATGTTGGAATGTACCCAAGTACATTCACTCTGTGCTTTTTATGTGGAACATTATGGAACATTTCTACTACTGCACTACAAGGTTTTTGTGTACTTGTTATTCCACTACATGCATTTGACAACTTAAATTGCTAGTTATTTTGTAGAATAAATATTTTCATGCAAATCACATCATCATGTCATTAAACATGATTTACTTTTTAAATAAAAATTCACTAAAGTATATGTGATATGGTGGACATTTAGTCCACCTTTAGCGGCTGTAACATTAAAATACTGCTTACACATTATTAATTCAGTGAAAATAATGCATTATAACAATTTATGACAGTGTGACCTAGTGGTCATTCTTCATGTTATTTGACCCATTTTTCCCAAAGTAATTTTCCTCGAATAACCCATTTACTATATATATAAAAATACGATATAAAATATGATCTCTTCATCCTTAATGTGAACTTGCAGAACTCAAGACACCGTCATTACATGCCACCTACTGTAGACAGTGAGCTTGACAGGCATGCTCTTCATGTTGCTGATGGGGTTGTCCACTGTGCAGGCGTAAATGTCATCATCTGACATCCCAACGCGAGAGATGGTCAGCGTCTTTTGGTCATGTGAAAGCAGCAGGCGTGTGTCATTAGTCAGCACCTTGCCTCCCTTCAGCCAACTGTAGATAGCCTTCGTGCCATTATCATGGGTACAGTGGAGGTTGAAGTGCTCGCTGTACTCCAGGACGGACGAGGACATCATCTGGATGTAAGGTTTGGACACGGGCACTGAGGAGGGAGGACAGGGCAAAGATAAAGGTTTCTTGAGGTGAAATAGTTGCTGATATGAGAGCGTGGTGGACCAGTGGTTATATAACAACATAATAAGTGGAGTGTCTTAAAACTTAACTCCAGTACACTCAAGATTGTGTATTTTCAGCTTGTATTGATACTATTTTAGCTCCTCACCAGTATCGTGCTCATATATTTTGAAACATGGAAGAACCAGCTCTTTAAAAGGAAGGTCGTATTTCATACCATCCACAGTGAGCTCAACGAAGCGCTCTCCAGTGAAGGTGTCATCTGTGATAGAGATCTCAACTTCGTACGCCCCTTCGTCTGACAGCTGCAGGTTGTGAAGCAGCAGTGAACCATTTTCAAACACCAGGATACGATTGCGGTACTCCGGCCTCAGGTTCCCTATGATGTCTGTTCCTATGGACTGCACAACAGTGATAGGTTTCTCTTTCTCCCTCTTAAGCTGCCATTTAATTACAGGTTTATCAGAACTGCTGCTAGAGTAGCTGACTGACAAGAGGGCCACTTTCCCCACCGTGCCCCTCACCACCTGGGTTTGGCTGGTCACATTCACACCTGACACCTCACCTGGAAACAAAGGCAAAGAGACGACAGGGGGGTTTTGAATTGAGGAGCAGAGGGGAATACACAGAAACTGAAGGGTTGTTGGGGGGACACAGAGTAATCTTGCACCATTATATGCTCTGCCAGCAAGCAGAGATTAAACAAATCAAACATTCTCACATAGTGAAACAAAAGAGGACTTATTTAAAACACAATAATTACAGCTACACTAATTACTACTATTACTGCGAGGACAAAAAGCAGAGGGTCTTCGGTACAATGACATTGTACAATAACAAAGTACATTTATGCACTGCTCATACAATATTTAGGTATACTAACAAAACATATACAAAAGCCCAACATTTCCCATCAATAAGTTGGTTTAACTTTTTAAACAGTCAAACCACGTAAAACACTGAAGTACATTTTACACGTTGAGGTACCCATAATTGATCAAATGAAGCTTGTTCTATTGCTAATTGCTGTTTGCTGATTGATTGCCGAACACAATCACTCACTCACTCACACACACACACACGCACGCACGCACGCACGCACGCACACACACACACACACACACACACACACACACACACACACACACACACACACACACACACACACACACACACACAAGATGGTCTAAATGATCAAATGTGGAAAAAAGACTGCACACCAAAGCCCAAAGCAGTTATCCAGTGTTTACATCTAATTTTGATTTAATAAAGGCATTAAAGGGGGTTACCTTTGTCCTCACTTTAAAAGTCATTATAATTGGAAAAATTATGAATATTTTTTTCCATTTTGCCAACACTGCTTAGCCAGTAGTTTTTCAACCACTGCTGAGACTTTGCACAGCTTTATAAAACATAGTTAAATCTCCTTTTCATCCAAAATCCACTTTTATTTACCAAATTGTACATTCCATCTTACTGACTTTAAATAGTTTGGATACAAATTAAATGTATTTTTATCAAACTATTTGGGTAAACAGATGAATTAGTTTGAAGAACCAATTAAAGTTAATCTGTCACTGAGTGCTTTACATTTTCACGCCTCGTTTTTTTCTTGGCTGCAGGCTTGAAGAATGACAGCCATTAGTCAGCTTGCTGTATGCTACGCATGCTAACAAACTCATAAGCACGCATGTTGCTTTTCACTAATAATTGCTTTGTTTCCCAGAAAAACTCCCCCCAGGAATTTCCCAGGGCCCCTCGTTGTGAGCTAGCAATACTCTAATTCTGATTTGTGTTACCCGATTATGCTCCGCCTCCCACAGGGACACAGGGATAAGGTATTATAGTGTAAGTCACATTTCATCCTTTATAGAAGTGACCTGTCTTGGAAACCAAACACAGCAAAGCTATTATGTTCACAGCGGAGGTTCCTATAACTCAGCCGTGGCCGGACACATGGAGGTCTAATCATTGGCTGCAGGCCTTTGAGGGGCATCCTACTGTTAGGGCCTCAGTGATGGAAAGATCAACCGAGAGGAGAGGGAGGAGAGAGAGGGTCTGCACTGTTCACTATTCTTTGGAGCGAGGCAGTTAGCGGGGCATCGCCTCATTGCCTTAGTAACCATTTGGTCCGCCTGACAGGGGTTGCCAAGGCAATAAGACAAAGGGCATGATTGTTGGAACTAGCTTCCTCCCTTGAAAAGAGCGAGAGTGTTAAAGAGGGAGTGAGATAGAGAGAGAGAGAGAGAGAGAGAGAGAGAGAGAGAGAGAGAGAGAGAGAGAGAGAGAGAGAGAGAGAGAGAGAGAGAGAAGATAAAGAGTGAGTAAGTCTTTGTCACTGGTGAAGTTGGAGATAGACACAGGATCCAGTTATTCTACCAAAGCTGGCCTTGTCGGGTAAACTGGCTCCATGGTACGATCATAAAATTATTTAATTAAAATCACACTTAATAAAAATGTTGACATCCCTTTATCCCTGAAATGAACTAATCCAAAACTTCCACACTGAAGACAAAAGCAAGCCCTGCCCTATTCACCAGTCCTGAACAAAACTTGATATCATCACACTTAACCTACATGCCCACTTCTTACACACCTACAATGGACCCTCCAGGCTCCTTTGAGCTGGNGCCTAGGTTACTGCAACTCCCTCCTGGCTGGTCTACCTGCATGTGCCATCCAACCTCTGCAGCTCATCCAGAATGCAGCGGCTCGTCTGGTCTTCAACCTTCCTAGGTTGAAGACCAGACGAGCCGCTGCATTCTGGATGAGCTGCAGAGGTTGGATGGCACATGCAGGTAGACCAGCCAGGAGGGAGTTGCAGTAACCTAGGCGTGAGATGACGAGAGCCTGGACCAGAACCTGCGCTGATTTCTGGGTCAGCTGGGGACGTATCCTCCTGATGTTGTAAAGCGTGTATCTGCAGCAGCGGGTTGTAGCAGCAATGTTTGCAGTGAAGGACAGTTTGTTATCTCGGAATATCTGTTATCTTGTAATATCTACATGTACTATAGTAAATCTTGTAAACTGGGCTGGTTGCATGACAGGCGTGGATAATGTTACTAAACGCTCCGTGAACACACACCACAGCTGTCCATTTCGTTCTCTCACTGGACTTGACCTCATTCAACCATTAAACGAGCCGACCCTTACTTTACTTTCCCATGTGACTGGGTTGTCAAAAAAACACATTAAATGTGATAACCTTTCCCCCCTGTCAGAACACTGAGGCTTTATATCATTAACACAGCAGCTGTTTGTGTGCAGGTGTGCCTTTTGAAACCATATAGAAACAGATTGCACACTGTTGGATTTATGGGCCATAGATGAGATTTTATCATACACATATTACATGTTAATAAATAATACTCCATTTATCCAATGTGAAAGCATTTTGTCTATTGTAACTTCTTTGTCTAACACTTCTATTTGTTGAAATACACTTACTACGTATAAATCTGTTTCTCAGGTGGTGTTCAGTCGGCACTGCAGTCCATGTGACATCAAGGAGCTCCTGTGTACCTCATCTAACATTCCCAGGTATTTCGTTTTGTGTCTTAATTTGTTCATTTATTTCTTTACATACAGATGACCGCACTCCCTAACTGATTCTAGGCATACTTGAAAATATCCTTTAAAATCTTAGAACCATAACATAAAGCCACATAAAAATCCTTACATAATTACAGTGCTACTACTTTATTGGGCAGTAAAGCAGTCACTCACATTCAACAAGCCCTTGTATGCAATTTTCTGACAGACATGCTGCATTAGCTATGCACATCAAAGTAGACAATGATAAAGGATAAAAGCAAGATGGAGCCGTCATCCGCCTTTAGTTCTGTTTTGCTTTTATTGGGAAACATAAACTTTGTATACACTATTCTTCCAGTTGGCACTCATTCCTCTTTCGTTCAATTAACTGATTCTCTTTTGTGAAATAGGAGTTACTTTCCAGGAACGCTGCAGATGTAGCTTTGTTGAATATTAAAGACAATAAAGAAAATGTATTGTATTTGTTTTTCTGTTTCCTCTCACTGCAGGACCACTGCCATCATGATGGTTGACCCGGAAGGAGCCCTAGTCTCTATGGATCCCACCATGCCCACCAACTCTCCAAAGTAACAGTACATTACCATGTTGGGTTTCTTTAAAAAGAAATCCCATATTAACATTCACTTGAGTCATCTTATTTATTTATTTAATCTCCACCCCATTTAAGAAGTGGTTTTGTTGTGTTTTTTACTATGGAAACAGTAATCAACAGAACAATCTTACCACAAGGTGAATTAAATAGCTGTTACAGATCAGCGTTCTTAATTAATCTTGAGGTTGTCAGGGGTGGGGAAGAATAGGACCCAAATGCAGTAAGAGGACTAAAAGGTTAGGTAACAAAAAGCGAGCTTTATTTCCAAAAGCTGATGACAACAAAAAACAAGGAGCAACTTAACATTAGCAAAACCGGGGGAGTACGAGCAAGGAAACCAGGGAGCACGAGGAAGGATCAGGACAAAAACTTGCATAACTAGGGCCAAAAGGGTGGGTGGAGGGGCTCTGGAGGAGGGGTTTGGGCTGACGGCACGGGGGCACGGCAGAAGCAGAGAAGGGGGACTCGGGCGGATGGCCCGGGGGTAAAGCAGAGGCCGAGAAGGGGAACTCGGTCGGACGGCCCGGGGGCAAGGCAGAGTTTGAGGAGGGGCGAAGGCCGCAGCGGGCGAACTCAGGAGGCCGGGCACGAGGGTGACGGCAGCGGCTGGGAAAGTCAGGGGGCCGGGCTCGAGGGTGAAAGCCGCTGGGGAACTCAGGAGGCCGGGCACAAGGTCGGGCAAGAAGATGATGGGCAGGACGGAGGCGGGACAGCTCCGGTGGACGGGCAGGACCCGATGTCGGCCGGACAAGGAACCCGAGCCGGCGGGACAGGCGTAGACGGGACCCTGGACAGAACGTGGGCTGGTGTCAGTGCGACCCCCGACGGAAAAGGACATGGTGTCGGCGGGACCACAAACAGGACAGGACACAGAGTTTGCAGGACCCCCAACAGGGCAGGACATGGTGTTGGCAGGACCCCCGGCAGGACAGCAGCCGGCGGGACCCCCAACGGGACAGGGACTTGAGAAGGGACTAGAGAAGGGACTAGAGACGGGGCTTGAGAAGGGGCTTGAGAAGGGACTTGAGTAGGGACTAGAGAAGGGACTTGAGAAGGGACTTCAGAAGGGACTTGAGAAGGGACTTGAGAAGGGGCTAGAGACGGGGCTTGAGAAGGGGCTTGAGAAGGGACTTGAGTAGGGACTAGAGAAGGGACTAGAGACGGGGCTTGAGAAGGGACTTGAGAAGGGACTTGAGAAGGGACTTCAGAAGGGACTTGAGTAGGGACTAGAGAAGGGACTAGAGACGGGGCTTGAGAAGGGACTTGAGAAGGGACTTCAGAAGGGACTTGAGAAGGGACTTGAGAAGGGACTTGAGAAGGGACTTGAGAAGGGGCTAGAGAAGGGACTAGAGAAGACCCTTGAGAAGGGGCTGGAGAAGGGACTTGAGTAGGGACTTGAGTAGGGACTTGAGAAGGGACTTGAGAGGAGACTTGAAAAGGGACTTGAGTCTGCGGGACCACCGACAGGAGACGGGGAGCTGGAGTCGGTCGGACCGCCAGCAGGACACGGTGGGGCTGGCGTCGGTCAAAACGCCGACAGGACACGGGGGGCTGGCGTCGGTCAGAGAGCCAGTACTGGAGCCGAAACTGGACCCGGGACCATGGCTGCGTGGGCCGGAACAGGAGCCGGAACCATGGCTGCTGGGGCCAAAACTGGGGCCGGAACCAAGGCTGCTGGGGCCAAAACTGGGGCCGGAACCAAGGCTGCTTGAGCTCGGGCCGGTCGCTTGAGGTACTGGGGCCGTAGCCGATAGCTTGGCTGCTGGGGCACTGGGTTTGAGGCAGGCATGCAGACTGTCTGGGGAAGTCACAAATGTCTTCAACATTTCTGGCAGTGAGTTTACCAGCCAGGGCTTATCTGCCACCTCCCGGTGTGCAAGGGAAAAAGCAGCATCCTGAGTCTCTTTACAAGAAGCCCTCCTCCACACTCCAAAAATGCATAACATCTTTTAAGAAAGATCATCAAGAGCATCCTCTAAGAATTACTGCTGGGTCCATACTGGTCTGTCCGTACTGTCAGGGGTGGGGAAAAATAGGACCCAAATGCAGTAAGAGGACTAAAAGGTTAGGTAACAAAAAGCGAGCTTTATTTCCCAAAGCTGATGACAACAGAAAACAAGGAACAACTTAAAGAGCAACTTCCAGGTTAAAGACACCTGTGAATAAATGTGTAGGAAAATGATGAATACACTAGATTTTCAAAAAAATATACAGAAATATACACTAAAGTGACATCTGGCGTAATTTTTGTAAGAAATGTTCACTTCCGCATAAAAAAGCCTCGGCACGTGACCTCCCGCGTGTGACGTAACACGGGGGACACAAGGGGGAGAGCGGCCGGTGTAACGTATTAATAAACATGGATCCCAATGCTAGTTTCGACACAGAAGAAGTTGAACATGAATATTCGAATGCATATGACGGACCACAACCTTATAATTATGAGCCTGCTAGGCGTCCAAGAGACCAGGAGCAGCCAAGGATTAGAAGAAATAACGGCCATCGGAGAGAAATTGAGCTGTGGTGTGAGGAGAACCAGTGGAGAACTGGGCAGCTATCTTGGTGAGTGACCGGCGTTANGGTTTTGTTGTGTTTTTTACTATGGAAACAGTAATCAACAGAACAATCTTACCACAAGGTGAATTAAATAGCTGTTACAGAAATATACACTAAAGTGACATCTGGCGTAATTTTTGTAAGAAATGTTCACTTCCGCATAAAAAAGCCTCGGCACGTGACCTCCCGCGTGTGACGTAACACGGGGGACACAAGGGGGAGAGCGGCCGGTGTAACGTATTAATAAACATGGATCCCAATGCTAGTTTCGACACAGAAGAAGTTGAACATG